ACAACAAGTAGCTAGGTATTTTGTGCACTGTCTGAACTTCACCATTAGTTCTCGTCCGGTTAGCTCTTCTATAACACCATCAGAGTTAATGGAGATTATCCAGCAATACACAAAATAGTGAATACAAAGAAATATTATGGAGACACTCCAATCAGAGTTATCTCAAAGTTTAATCCCACCCTGTTTAGGGTCAGCACAAATAGTATAATACATACACTACTGACTAGCTTAGATCTAGTCGTGATAATTCCTAACTAAGAACTATAAATTTATTTAGTCTGGACTTGTACCAAATTCAGCACAATCTCAGCCTAAATTCTACCTAATAATATTGGTAAAGATTATTGTGGTGCAGTAAGGTGAATATAATTGTGCTGTATTTTTGGGTTTTTGGGTTTTATAAGAGTGCACTTGCACACACAAGTGAAACAATTATGTACAGTTATGTTTGGCTTGCTAGCCACAGCCGTTTGTGATAGTTGATGGTGTTGATTAGCTTGTCAACCACATGCAACCTAGACTCACCTGACAAGTGTACACCATCTCTGGTCAGGTTCTGTCTATAAGGTCTGGCTGTAAATTGGATATAAGTGGCATCCAATCTCACTCGTTTTTTCAGCCTGAAATTTATGTACTTAGCAGCACTCTGGTAGTATTCTGGGGTTACTCCCCAACGATTATCTTGACTTGGTTGGCGAGGTTCCACTAATGTGAATACTACCGAATTACTGATGAGCTTGAAAGAAGAAATTATGGCTTTAAGGTGTTTGATCACCTCAGCTGGATGACGAGTGGGATGAATGTCATTACCACCTATGTATATAATGGTTAGATGGTGAGGCCACTCTAACGCAGGTGTTAGTGTGGAGTTGTTATAAAAGTTATGAGCTGTTGCTCCTGGTGACCTAAAGATTCTCACTTCTGTGTGAGGTATAGGTCTAAGTGTTGTGGGTAATTGGCTATGACCCACTAAAACTACCTTATACATGAGGTGAAAGTAGCAATATGTTGGTGTGACTTAGACTAACTGATGTGTTACACTGTTGGTTGACACAATTAATTAAATAGTTAGTCTAGCTTACATCACACAAGGATTAGTTACTAATGATTAATATTTGTAATTATAAATTTAAGCCTATCCGGTTCGAAGGACCATAATGTGGGACATTTGGGGCTTGACTCTAATTATTTAAATATTAATATAGTAAATTCAATTACGAAGGACCACCCACTTTTATAGTAAAGAGGGAAACTGAGAAAATGTGATCATTAGAACATTCTAGATGAACCAGTAACTATTGATAAAATACTAGAGAATATGATCATTGAAATAATTAATGGGCTGTATAATTAAATGAATCAAAGCCTCAAACACCTACATTGGGGGGGGGGGGTATTACTGGAACTCAGTACGTCCAGGAACTAGTGTGGTTCGTTCACTAATCCAATGTATAATAATCTAATCCTATGAATACTTATGAAATCATTATTGTTATCATTAAGGGGAACATAGATTATGAATATGTATAATAATGATTATAATAAACACATGTTAATCCAATGAACAGTGTTCTGCATGTAAAAGTGTACAGATAATAAATTTGAGGAATACAAAAGGGAATCTTAGCTTAATGACCATTCCTTAGAAGTTAGTCACGACACTTCCACTGATTCTCCTGGACTCGTCATGGAACACTGGGAGTTGATTAACATGGGAAATGACAGCTCGGAGAATTCTTCGCACACGCTGCAAAAACAATTGTTTCCAGTAGCAACAGATTAAACTACTGGATTTCTATGTTCAATAAATGGATATTAATAAAAGGAGAAAGATAATGACCTGTGATTTTTAGTTGTTATACGTCGTCACGACAAGCTACCCAGCTATAAACCCACCCCCGATCTGATGCATCAAACAAGGATAAGGTACTTAGCTAATATATGCACTGTGTAAGTTAAAGCTTGCCGAAGGTCGCGTCCTAGGCTCTAGACTTGTCTATCCTAGATACTGACGCGCTCCACTGGCCGGTCACATGGAGCTACATAGAACCAAATTGAACAGGTTCCGTAAATGACACTGACACCAAGTGAAGGTATTGTCTGCAAGGTTCTTCACACCTCACAGTGGCGACTTTCTTCTGGAGATTTGATAGCGTTTACCCTGGTGGCTGGGTAATGGTGTCTCCTCGTGAGCACCCCGTGAACACGCCTACTCGTGAGCGTTTCAACACGTGGACTGGCGTCTTCTTCCGCCCCGCTCCGCGTCCCGCGTTTATTAACCAAATTATTTATTATGGATATTATCATTTCTCGCGGTTGTGCTTGAAATGCTCGGGTTAGGACGGGTTTATTATTTGGAAGAGTCAAATATTATTATTTGCCAGTTCTATGATAGTAAACGAACAACGGAGAAGAACTAATGTCTCTCCAGGGCATTCACTCGTGACGTTAATTTTATTACTAGATAACAGCTATAACTATAAACGCTCTATTTGGCTTTAGTTGGAGATCAGTTTATCTGTAATTAATTATCACACAGAACACCGTTGTTTATGGAGAATCAAATTCAATTCTCAGGCACATTGGATATAAATGTGTTTATTACAATGGAATCTGACGCAATACTGGCGTCGGGTGACGTAAGAATTCTAGCCTTACTGTACAGATGTAATTATTAGTACATGTGAATTCTACGTTGGGTTAATTTTAATCACTACAATGATTTGTAGAATTAGTAGTAATTAATGAGAATACAACAGTGTTGTATTTAGTGTTGGAAATTTCCAACATCTGTGTTACTGTCTGATGCCTGGTCTGTGTTACTATGTAACACCTGGTCTGTGCTTCTGTCTGATTCCTGGTCTGTGTTACACTCTGATGCTTTGTCTGTATTACTGTCTGATGCCTGATCTGCGTTACTATGTGATGCCCGGTGTGTGTTACTTTTTGATAGCTGGTCTGCGTTACTATGTGATGCCTAGTCTGTGTTACTGTCTGATGCCTGATTTGCGTTACTGTCTGATGCCTGGTTTGTGTTACTGTCTAATGCCTGGTCTATGTTACTGTCTGATGCCTGATTTGCGTTACTGTCTGATGCCTGGTTTGTGTTACTGTCTGATGCCTGATCTGTACTACTGTATGACGCCTGGTCTGTACTACTGTCTGACGCCTGGTCTGTACTACTGTCTGATGCCTGGTCTGTGTTACTTTCTTATTCCTGATATGTGTTACTATGTGATGCCTGTTCTGTGTTACTGTCTAATGCCTGGTCTGTTTTACTGTCTGATTCCTGGTCTGTGTTACTATATGGTGCCTGGTCTGTGTTACTGTCTGATGCCTGGTCTGTGTTACTCTCTCATTCCTGGTCTGTATTACTGTCTGATGCCTGCTCTGTGTTACTGTCTAAAGCCTGGTCTGTGTTCCTGTCTGATTCCTGGTGCCTTTTTTGTGTTACTATGTGATGCCTGGTCTGTGTTACTATGTGATTCCATTTCTGTGTTACTGTCTGATGCCTGGTCTGTGTTACAGTCTGATGCCTGGTCTGTGTTACTATGTGAGGCCTTGTCTGTGTTACTGTCTGATGAATGGTCTGTGATACATTGTAATGCCTGGACTGTGTTACTATGTCATGCCTGGTCTGAGTTATTGTCTGATGCCTGGTCTGTGTTACTGTCTGATTCCTGGTCTGTGCTACTATGTAATGTCTGGTCTGTTTTACTATGTAATGCCGGGTCTGTGTTACTATATAATGACTGGTCTGTGTCATTTCTGATCCTTGGTGTATGTTACTGTCTGATGCCTGGTCTGTGTTACTATGTAATGCCTGGTCTATGTTACTGTGTGGTGCATAGTGTGTTTTACTGTATGATGCCAGGTCTGTGTTTCTGTATGATGCTTGGTTTTTGTTATTGTATGATGCCTAGTCTTTGTTACCAACTAATGCCTGGTCTGTGTTACTGACTGATGCCTGGTCTGTGTTACTATGTGGTGCCTGGTCTGTGTTACTGACTGATGCCTGGTCTGTGTTACTATGTGGTGCCTGGTCATTGTTACTGACTGATGCCTGGTCTGTGTTACTATGTGATGCCTGGTCTGTGTTACTGACTGATGCCTGGTCTGTGTTACTATGTGATGCCTGATCCGTGTTACTGACTGATGCCTTGTCTGTGTTACTATGTGATGCCTGGTCTGTGTTACTGACTGTTGCCTGGTCTGTGTTACTATGTGATGTCTGGTCTGTGTTATTGTCCAATGCCTGGTCCTATGAAGCGATGAAGAATAAAAGGCATCGCTTCATTACAGTGAGCTGATGTGTAATTGAAGTAGTGTGACTGGTGTCGTATGCCTAGTGTCCGGAAGGTAGCTGAATTACGTAAATAGTTTTATAATATGGTTTCCAGATATATGAAGGGAAGTAATTATTGATCTTGTATTTGTCTGTAGCTAGATCTGTGAGACATAATGCTCCCGTCTGAAGGTTAGAGTATTAAAACTGATATAAAAATGTAGCGGTGAAGAAGTCGACCGCTTCTTCAGCTTGCTCATTTATTTTATTGTTTCAGAATCGGCGTGTGTAGGGTTCAGCTTGCAGTCTCTTAGGGGGTCTGACAGAGTGTGTGAATTAGCCAACAGATCCAATCCCGTCCACTGTGTCCCACCACCTAACTTTAACTTCTACTCGACTCCTGGAGTTATAACAACAACAGAGACCACACATCCTGCACCGCCCACTCAACATACCCCAGGTGCCGCACCTGAAATAAGACTCAAAATTACTGGTTCTCATTATATAAAGTAATGTCATTCTATTACAGGTGCCACGGATCTTACTGGTGTAGCAGGTAAAGGTTCTGATACAACTACTACAACCCTGCAATATGGCTCCTGCCATAACAACCACAATGCTCGAAACAACACAAACAAACCAATAACAAAATCTACGACGAGCTCATCGTCTGCTACTAGAAAAAAATGCTAAAAATAATGTATACTACTACAACCAGATCAATAACAATCACTATATCATCGATCACAATATGTTCATCAATCACAACACTTTCATCAGTCACAACACCTGCAACAGCAACAACATCTGTTGTTGCTGTTGCTACATCAACACCCACGACACCTTTAACAACTACAACACCTTAAGCAATCACAACTTCAACTACCTCAATACCCTTAACAACAACAATACTTTCAACATAACACCTTAAACAACCACAAAAATTTTAACAACCATAACACCTCCAACAACGACAACACCTTCAATACCCACAACAATTAAACAACAATAATACCTTCAAAAACAATAAGACTTTAAACAACCATAACAACATCAACAACCACAAAATCTTCAACAGACACAACACCTTCAACAGACACAACACCTTCAACAACCACAAAATCTTCAACAGACACAACACCTTCAACAGACACATCACCTTCAACAGCCACAACACCTTCAACAGACACAACACCTTTAACAGACACAACACCTTCAACAGACACAACACCTTCAACAGACACAACACCTTCAACAGACACGACACCTTCAACAGACACAACACCTTCAACAACCTCAACACCTTCAACAGACACAACACCTTCAACAGACACAACACCTTCAACAACCTCAACACCTTCAACAGACACAACACCTTCAACAGACACAACACCTTCAACAGACACAACACCTTCAACAGACACAACACCTTCAACAGCCACAACACCTTCAACAGACACAACACCTTCAACAGACACGACACCTTTAACAGACACAACACCTTCAACAACCACAACACCTTCAACAGACACAACACTTTCAACAGACACAACACCTTCAACAACCTCAACACCTTCAACAGACACAACACCTTCAACAGACACATCACCTTCAACAGCCACAACACCTTCAACAGACACGACACCTTTAACAGACACAACACCTTCAACAGACACAACACCTTCAACAGCCTCAACACCTTCAACAGACACAACACCTTCAACAGACACAACACCTTCAACAACCACAACACCTTCAACAGACACAACACCTTCAACAACCACAACACCTTCAACAGACACAACATCTTCAACAGCCACAACACCTTCAACAGACACAACACCTTCAACAGACACAACACCTTCAACAACCACAACACCTTCAACAACCACAAAATCTTCAACAGGCACAACACCTTCAACAGCCACAACACCTTCAACAGACACAACACCTTCAACAGACACAACACCTTCAACAACCACAACACCTTCAACAACCTCAATACCTTCAACAGACACAACACCTTCAACAACCACAAAATCTTCAACAGACACAAAATCTTCAACAGACACAACACCATTAACAGACACAACACCTTCAACAACCTCAACACCTTTAACAACCTCAACACCTTCAACAGACACAACACCTTCAACAACCACAACACCTTCAACAGACACAACACCTTCAACAGACACAACACCTTCAACAACCTCAACATCTTCAACAGACACAACACCTTCAACAACCACAACACCTTCAACAGACACAACACCTTAAACAGACACAACACCTTCAAAAGACACAACACCTTCAACAGACACAACTCCTTCAACAGACACAACACCTTCAACAGCCACAACACCTTCAACAGACACAACACCGTCAACAGACACAACACCTTCAACAACCTCAACACCTTCAACAACCACAACACCTTCAACAGACACAACACCTTCAACAGCCACAACACCTTCAACCGACACAACACCTTCAGCAGACACAACACCTTCAACAACCTCAATACCTTCAACAGACACAACACCTTCAACAACCTCAATACCTTTAACACCACAACACCTTCAACAACCACAACACCTTCAACAACCACAACACCTTCAACAGACACAACACCTCCAACAGACACAACACCTTCAACAGACACAACACCTTCAACAGACACAACATCTTCAACAACCACAACACCTTCAACAGACACAACACCTTCAACAGACACAACACCTTCAACAGACACAACATCTTCAACAACCACAACACCTTCAACAGACACAACACCTTTAATAACCACAACACCTTCAACAGACACAACAGCTTCAACAGACACAACACCTTCAACAGACACAACACCTTCAACAGACACAACACCTTCAACAGACACAACACCTTCAACAGACACAACACCTTCAACCGACACAACACCTTCAACAGACACAACACCTTCAACAACCACAACACCTTCAACAGACACAACACCTTCAACAACCACAACACCTTCAACAGACACAACACCTTCAACAACCTCAACACCTTCAACAGGCACAAAACCTTCAACAGCCACAACACCTTTAATAACCACAACACCTTCAACAGACACAACACCTTCAACAGCCACAACACCTTTAATAACCACAACACCTTCAACAGACACAACACCTTCAACAGCCACAACACCTTTAATAACCACAACACCTTCAACAGGCACAAAACCTTCAACAGCCACAACACCTTTAATAACCACAACACCTTCAACAGACACAACACCTTCAACAGCCACAACACCTTTTCAACAGACACAACACCTTCAACAGACACAACACCTTCAACAACCACAACACCTTCAACAACCACAACACCTTCAACAGACACAACACCTTCAACAGCCAACAAACACCTTCAACAGACACAACACCTTCAACAGACACAACACCTTCAACAACCACAACACCTTCAACAGCCACAACACCTTCAACACACAACACCTTCAACAGACACAACACCTTCAACAGACACAACACCTTCAACAACCTCAACACCTTCAACAGACACAACACCTTCAACAGACACAACCTTCAACAGCCACAACACCTTCAACAGACACGACACCTTTAACAACACAACTTCAACAGACACAACACTTCAACAGACACAACACTTCAACAGACACAACACTTCAACAGACACAACACTTCAACACACACAACACCTTCAACACACACAACACCTTCAACACACACAACACCTTCAACAGCCACAACACCTTCAACAACCACAACACCTTCAACAGACACAACACCTTCAACAGACACAACACCTTCAACAACCACAACACCTTCAACAACCACAAAACCTTCAACAGACACAACACCTTCAACAACCACAACACCTTCAACAGACACAACACCTTCAACAGACACAACACCTTCAACAACCACAACACCTTGAACAGCCACAACATCTTCAACAACCACAACACCTTCAACAACCACAACACCTTCAACAACCACAACACCTTCAACAACCTCAATACCTTCAACAGACACAACACCTTCAACAACCACAACACCTTCAACAGACACAAATCTTCAACAGACACAACACCTTCAACAACACAACACCTTCAACAACCTCAACACCTTCAACAGACACAACACCTTCAACAACCACAACACTTTCAACAACCTCAATATCTTCAACAGACACAACACCTTCAACAGACACAACACCTTAAACAGACACAACACCTTAAACAGACACAACACCTTCAACAGACACAACACCTTCAACAGACACAACACCTTCAACAGACACAACACCTTCAACAGCCACAACACCTTCAACAGACACAACACCGTCAACAGACACAACACCTTCAACAACCTCAACACCTTCAACAACCACAACACCTTCAACAGACACAACACCTTCAACAGACACAACACCTTCAACAGCCACAACACCTTCAACAGACACAACACCGTCAACAGACACAACACCTTCAACAACCTCAACACCTTCAACAACCTCAACACCTTCAACAGACACAACACCTTCAACAGCCACAACACCTTCAACCGACACAACACCTTCAACAACCTCAATACCTTCAACAGACACAACACCTTCAACAACCTCAATACCTTCAACAACCACAACACCTTCAACAACCACAACACCTTCAACAGACACAACACCTCCAACAGACACGACACCTTCAACAGACACAACACTTTCAACAGACACAACATCTTCAACAACCACAACACCTTCAACAGACACAACACCTTCAACAGCCACAACACCTTCAACCGACACAACACCTTCAACATACACAACACCTTCAACAATCACAACACCTTCAACAGACACAACACCTTTAACAACCTCAATACCTTCAACAACCACTACACCTTCAACAGACACAACATCTTCAACAACCACTACACCTTCAACAGACACAACACCTCCAACAGACACAACACTTTCAACAGACACAACATCTTCAACAACCACTACACCTTCAACAGACACAACATCTTCAACAACCACAACACCTTCAACAGCCACAACACCTTCAACAACCACAAAATCTTCAACAACCACAAAATCTTCAACAACCACAACACCTTCAACAGACACAACACCTTTAATAACCACAACACCTTCAACAGACACAACACCTTCAACAGACACAACACCTTCAACAGACACAACACCTTCAACAGACACAACACCTTCAACAGACACAACACCTTCAACAGACACAACACCTTCAACCGACACAACACCTTCAACAGACACAACACCTTCAACAACCACAACACCTTCAACAGACACAACACCTTCAACAACCACAACACCTTCAACAGACACAACACCTTCAACAACCACAACACCTTCAACAGCCACAATACCTTCAACAGCCACAACACCTTCAACAGCCACAATACCTTCAACAGGCACAACACCTTCAACAGCCACAACACCTTTAATAACCACAACACCTTCAACAACCTCAACACCTTCAACAACCTCAAAACCTTCAACAACCACAATACCTTCAACAACCTCAACACTTTCAACAACCACAACACCTTCAACAGACACAACACCTTCAACAGACACAACACCTTCACAACCACAACACCTTCAACAGCCACAACATCTTCAACAACCACAACACCTTCAACAGACACAACACCTTCAACAGACACAACACCTTCAACAACCACAACCCCTACAACAGCAACAATCCCTACAACAACCACAATTCATTCTTCGATAGTCACTACACTTAAATAATTACAACATCAACAATCATAACACTCCCAATAACTACAATACCTTCAATAATTTCAAGACCTTAAACAACCTCAGCACCTTCATCAACCTCAGCACCTTCATCAACCTCAGCACCTTCATCAACCTCAGCACCTTCATCAACCTCAGCACCTTCATCAACCTCAGCACCTTCATCAACCTCAGCACCTTCATCAACCTCAGCACCTTCATCAACCTCAGCACCTTCATCAACCTCAGCACTTTCATCAACCTCAGCACCTTCATCAACCTCAGCACCTTCATCAACCTCAGCACCTTCATCAACCTCAGCACCTTCATCAACCTCAGCACCTTCATCAACCTCAGCACCTTCAACAACCTCAGCACCTTCATCAACCTCAGTACCTTCATCAACCTCAGCACCTTCATCAACCTCAGCACCTTCAACAACCACAACACCCTAAACAAACATAAGACCCTCAACAGCTACAACATCTTCAACAACAACAAGTTTAACAACCTGTTGAATAATACCTGGCTGAAAATTGCCCTATTGAACTCTGCAGAACCTCTGTCAAGATTGGACGGGAGATAATCCTAAAACCTTAGGATTATCTAGAAGCCAAAAAACAAGCTATGAATTCTGCAAGGATGTTTCGTTTCTTGCCGTTACATGTGCCTGATACGATGTTCTAATTTGAGCAGATGGTCTGTTAGGCTCCTCCCTCAGCGAAACTCGCAGCTTTCCAGTAAGAGGTCTGAAGTCTCCACCAACTATAGCAGGTGGTATTGAACCATTAATTTTCCGTTGCATGGAGACAGGATAATGGATCTGTGAGACCTGGGGACAGGAGAATCCCGCTCAGGCTTGGAATCTGGGAGTGTAGCACATTTCCGCGGATTTGGGAAGGTTCTCGTATTTATTGAAGGAGAAGAATGGGAATTGGTGTTTTATAGCTGGTGGCACCCACAGAAAGATGCCCAACCACTTGGGCTGGACGGTAGAGCGACGGTCTCTTTTCACGCAGGGCGGCGATCAATCCCCGACCGTCCAATTGGTTGGGCACCATTCCTTCCCCCCGTCCCATCCCAAATCCTTATCCTGATCCCTTCCAGGTGCTATATAGTCGCAAAGACTTGACGCTTTCCATTGATAATTCCCTCCCACAGAAGGAATTCATTTGGTTGACGAGTTCTTGCCTGGTTATCTTGAAATGATTTCGGGGCTTTTTAGTGTCCCCGCGGCCCGGTCCTCGACCAGGCCTCCACCCCCAGGAAGCAGCCCGTGACAGCTGACTAACTCCCAGGTACCTATTTTACTGCTAGGTAACAGGGGCATAGGGTGAAAGAAACTCTGCCCATTGTTTCTCGCCGGCGCCTGGGATCGAACCCAGGACCACAGGATCATAAGTCCAGCGTGCTGTCCGCTCGGCCGACCGGCTCCCCAGATGCTCTGGTCATCAGAGCATCAGGATTTCTCCCAGTTCTCTGTGAGTACAGTGGACGATCACGTTCCCAGGGTACAGCCTCGCCCTGGCGTCAACTTCAGCATACTGGATGACTGGGTCAGTTAGGGAGCAGAAATTCTCCTCAAATCTTTCAGTTGTCTCCCATTCTCCCAGTGTGCAGTTGTGTTCGATTCTCCCTATACGGTACTACCACTGGTGCCTAGAAGCAGGCAGGAAGGTCGCGAGTAGTGCCCTGTTTCTTCGTGCATGAAGGTTGGAACTGGAGGAGCAATATACTGCCCATGCCTCACATTTAGCATAAAGGACATTACGCACAGAAATCTAATCCGTCCTCACAGTAGGCTGTTCAAAGCAGCGGCCGTCCTCCCCTGATGCATTCATCAATTTTAACATACTGTGTATTACAAACTGGTTTACATACTGTGTATTACAAACTGGTTTGTTCTCATTCATAAATTAATATTATTATACATAAAAATTACATGTATAGTTAAGCATAGGTTAAGTTAGGTGAGCTTAGGTTAGGTTAGGTGTTTAGGAACTGTTGGAGATAATTTGTATTTGAAGCAACCCGTCCTAGTCTCAAGTTCATTACATCCAGCGGTCAACCCCACAGACGCATTCATAAATTTGATCATGCTGTTCATTCAAAACAGGAATTTTCTCAAATATAAATTAATATTATAATATATTAGCATATTGTGCATATATAGGCTACGGTTAGGTTAGGTGTTTAGGTTCTGTTGGCAGTTATATGTATTTGTAGTATGTGGGTGAAGCATTTACAGCGCTGTGGTTCGAACGAAATTCGTCAGTGAAGCACTTGTTGCGGAACTGTTCGAACGTCATCAGTTGTGAGTTGTGTGTAAACCGTTTTTCTTTCATAAACAGGGGATTTGGCGGGTGCACAGAATCCCTTTTGGGTCATTGTTTGGAGGACCGGGTGATTTGAAGTACGTCGGTAAAGCATTTTTGGAATTGAGGTTCGAACAGAGGACGTGAGCGAAGCCCTTGTTTCGGAAATGTTCAGATGTCATCAGTTGTGAGTTGTGTGTAAACCACTTTTTATTCGTAAACAGTTGGATTGTCGGCTGGATTAACCAACGTGGATCTTTGTATGCAAGGACGGGCTGGAGAAATCACAGAAAAGTGATATATAAATGAGAAAATCCAGTGGAGCCATAATGAAGATTCGAACCTATGCGCTGGCTATTCCCAAATGCATGCTCTAGACGACTAGGCCACAACATGGTCAAAAGAATTGCAATCTTTTTGCGACAAAAGTATTCCAAAGGCCCAATGAACTTTGGGTCTTTGTTTAGAGGACGGGCTGTTTAATGAACTGTGGTTCGAACAGAAGATGTGAGCGAACAACCCATCCTCGACTCAAGTCCATTACATCCAGCGGTCGACCCCACAGATGCATTCATAAATTTTTAAATGCTGTTCATTCAAAACTAGAATTTTCTCAAATATAAATTAATATTATAATATATTAGCATATTGTGCAAATATATGCATAGGTTAGATGTTTAGGTTCTCTTTGCGATTATTTGTATTTTTTTTTTTTGTATTTTTTTTTTTACATACAAAGCATGCAATTTAAATACAATAAAAATACAGAATACATAAAGGAAAACAATAGACCACCGGCCAGAAGGGCCGACAGCATAGCACAACAAAACACATACACAAGAAAAACATGAAAAATACAGCATACATCAGAGTAACATCACAAAACAACACCTCCAGAAAAACAAAACATACATCAAGAGGCATAGCAGGAAACATAACAGGAGAAACACAATACTGTCCAAACAAAACATAAAGAACAAACACGTACAACAGGTAAAGCAATATAAAAACAATACATTAATAAAAAAACACACACCAAGCCATCCGCCCCGTAAACAAAAGGCGAGGCCAAAATAAACAATAACAATAAACAAGCAAACCACGCACACCTGAAAAGAAAACAGGCACAAACACAACAACATACATGCACTGGCCTGAAGGACCGAGAATGAAACAACAAAGTACATCAAGAAACAGAACAAGACACTTCAGCACAAAACAAATCAATACACATCCATATAAAGACACTAAACACCGGCCTGAAGGGCCGACAAACAGTTCAAACAAACCACAGGTCCAAGCGCACACCAAACACACAGCAAGCACACAGGCTATGAAAAGATCTCATACTTGTCCGGCCACTCTTCCGCCGGGAATCGAATGCAATACGCCTCCCAAAGTAACATAAGGTCCTCCGAAACAGGGTCATTATTGAGCGTACGAGGATCAGGCATTAACTCAGACACACCTACAATAAAACACTGAGCCCGACGAATCCAGATGGTAGAAGGGCACCACGGAACAGGACGCACACGGTCATCAATGTTAAAACGCAACGGATGGTCAGCATCATTCGCCACTCCGGAGGCCAAGATAAGAGGGAGAGGCTCCTGCCCATGAGGCCGGGCAATGGGCAGCACACTGGGAGCCTACTCGGCTGCCTCACAGGGCCCCTCGTCAACCACCAAACGTTGTACCTGCTGGGACCCCCCACGCTTGACATCCTTCTTCAGCACCAACTTGATGCCTCGGCTCGCACCAGGACCCACACCATCCACGTCTGTAGGAGCAACCACCTCCCACTGCGTAGAACCTTCTGCAGGAGAAAGAACAGGAGGTAAATCGGACGCACAACCATCGTTAACAGCAGACACATGGACATCAGCCACCACCAGCGTCGTAGAGCACGAAGCACCCGGAATCGCCACACCATTTCCCGAAGCTCCACCGCGTCGTAGTCCTCCACATCAGCCCAAGCAGTAGAAGAGCGCCTAGAGCGCTTGGGCACTGGCCGCACATCCTCATAGCCGGAGGTGGACCCAGAACCACGGGCCTCACGAACCGGGCGAACCAACGCCCGTCGCAGTACTGCAGCAGCCTCAACCACATGGGGAACCGGGCCGCACACAACAGGATGCTCTGCAGCCCCCCCCCCAACACCCAGCACAGCCGTAACACCTGGCGAGGGTGCAGGACCAGGCGCAGCAGCAGGAGTCGAGGAAGACGCAGACGCACTCGGCTGAGGGGCAACAAGCACCGGGGGCATGTCGGGTGACACAGGGGGGGGGGCCGCATCAGCAGCGACTGGGACCTGCTCCTCTTCATCCCCGGAATCCACGCCCTGAGGGAGCGGTGGGAAATCCTCTTCCCGGAATAAATTAACGGGTGCAGCAGGGGCCTCAGAGCACCCGGCAGCCTGATGCTCTAACTGGCCACACCGGAAACAAGTACGGGGCTGCCGGGCATAATACACCCGAACGTAGTAACCCAGCAGCCGGACAGAAGATGGGATATCCGACTGCAGGCGCATACCTAAGGTACGGACGTTCATCTGCTTCCCAGCATACTTCCCCGAGGAAAGCTTGTTCACCCGCACACTGATGACAGCACCATACCTCCCGAAGAAGCGCCAGAGAAGGTCGTCAGGGAACTCCAGGGGCGCACCATGCACACTGACATATGTCAGGGCACCACTTCGGTTCGAGATCGTATCGGAGCCGGCGCCATCCGGCAACTGCAACGAACGCCCTTCGTTCCGTCGGAGGAAGTCCCGATACTCCTCCTCCCCCATGAACTTGACAATCACCCGGTGGGCCGTAACAAGCTCAACTCCATACACAGCTTCCACTGGGACACGAAGCATGTCGCACATAACTAACTCAATGGCCGGATAACCAGCCTTACACGAGAATTCCAGGCCCACGGAATTTACCCGCAAAACGGGAGGAATTGCCAGGCCCCCCATGTCAAAACGGCCACGTCAGCACGCAGCCAGGCAGGCAACAACACTGGTCAGGGAGGGTAAGAGGACCCCCACACCCCCTGCTGGCGAAAACTGCAACCTCCCCAAACTGCCGGAGCGGTCAGACGACACGTCTTCACCCTACGGCTGCTCAGGTGGAACTCCAGATTATTTGTATTTGTAGTACGTGGGTGAAGTATTTATTGCGTTGTGGTTCGAACAAAGGCGGTGTGTTTTTCAGTTAATTATTCAGTAAACATTATTCAGTCACCACGACAATTCAGATTGTCGTGGTGACTGGTAGTGGTGTCCTGGACCTAGATTCACAAATCGCCATGTATTTGTTCCCAAGAAGCTGTGCTACAAAGGTTCTTGAGTACTCGGTAAGAAGAGCCCTACGTACGATTCAGGATGGTGTTTGCACGCAGTTATTAGCCCTGTTATTAATTTATCCCACAATTCTAATCCTGTTCTAAAACTCTTCCTTGATTTATGTAATAGAACCCATGAGCACAACCCAGAAATAAATATTTTTGATGTTCCTAGTCAAAATTCGAGGTATTATGATATTTTTGGTATTTGATATTCCTATTATTTATCCAATAAATCAATTACTTAAGACACTCAACTTCGCCAATATAATCTATTCTGTCAACTTGTACTGTAGTTATTATGCTACAAACTTAATAGGCTGATAGGCTTAAGACCCTTAATACTTAATTTGTTGTACACATGTTAGAGATATTTACATTTCATGTTAAGTTTTGCGTGCACTGGTATTCTTTTTATTAAGATTTGGTGATATAAATCTTAGCTTTTGTGCCCTAATAATAGAAATACAATAGTTGGATTTTGGTACCATTCTTCAGAAACTTTATCAGTGTCTGGAGAATATGATAAATTAAAATTTTGCCCCGAGGAGCGAGTTTATTGGGCAGCGCCACTCATCCTGTGAGTGGACATACCGCCATAGCAGCATGAACAACACTCCCCAATAGGAAGAAAACCCGCTGGGTTGTTCATCCTGTCACTTGTACCCAGACACTGCTGGGACTTGCTTAACTGTCTCAAGTGAACAGCTTATCAAACAAAAAGATTAACATTTGTTAACCCTTAAAATCTTATGTTATCTTGCGGGTGCCAAATGGGGAAATCTTTTAAGAACAGTATAAATATTTGATAAATAGTGTTTTCCAAACTCAAACAATGAGGGGTTTATTATTCTACACATATATCTAATGTCTCTCAGGTGTTCACATTCACATAGATAGTGGTCAAGGCGGTGTCCGTCACTCTCACCACAGATTCTGCAACTCTGCTGATCATCTGTCGTTTCCATTCCGAATCTCCACGGATATTTGTATCCAAGACGGATTCTTGCTTTTATTGATTCTCTCCTGCAGCCTCCTCCTCCTCGTCCATAATGATTGGGATTGCCAGCTGCAACCATCTTGTACCATCATACAGATTCGCTGATTTGTGCTGCTATCCTCCTTTCCTTAGTTACCGTGTCACAGTGATGTTGCCTGACAATACCTCTAATTTGTAGAAGAGACTTGGGTATGAAGTATTCAATATGGTCTCCTTGAGCGCCTTCAGCAGCCAGCACATTTGCTCGTTCATTCCCACATATTCCAACATGGGAAGGGATCCACAGAAACTTGACGACTCTTCCCTGGTTGATTAGTACCCTCGCAGCTCTCGTAATTTCAGCGACTATCGCAAGACTTTCGGCCCGATTTTTACTTAGGCTTTGAAGCGCTGCTTTTGAGTCAGTGCAGATCACTGCGCAATTAGTGTTTCGTTCAAGGAATCTTAACGCCATAACAATGGCAGTTAGCTCTGCTTGCGTTGAAGAGGCAGAGTTCTCAATACGTACTTTCTCTTCATTTCTGCCTCGAAAGGCATTATTCCTAATTACAGTGTGTGCTGCACCAGCCCTGCCATTGACAGATTGATGTAGGTCATCTCCGGCTTCTTTATAAATTTCCCCGAGATACTTGTGCCTCATTTCTTGTTATATCATGTTGGATTTTTTCCATGCCATTTCATTAATGGTAATCCTGCATGAGTCATCCTCGCAGGGAGGTAACCTCTACAGGCAGTAGCTCACGTTCTTGCTCGAGCAGGTGATGTTCTTCTAGGTAGCAGACTGATCTGTGATGCCATTTTTTGCTTCTCCTGTTTCCTCCTGTAAGTAACACAGAACTCAGTTTTTCTTGGCAATATCATTGTAATAGGGGTCTCTGGCTATCCTAATACAAGCTTAGCATTCAGTTCCTTAATTCTGTTTTTAACACTGGGGAGGGACAACTCCTCTCGTAGATTAGTTCTTGGAACTCCAAGAATGATTGTCATGGATTCATTTTGTATGTTTTCGAGCCTTTTCATGCCGCTTTGGGAGTAGGTACATAAAACTGGTGCAGCATAGCCTCTAGCGGAGCGCACATAGGCTGTGTACATCATTTTAAGGGCAGCAATAGAGGCTCCATGTCCATTCCAGGTCATTGCTTTCAGTGCCCTAAGTCGAATTTTGCATGTTCCTATGAGTTGGTTGAGCTCCTCTTTCTTCCCTTTGTTAGAGCCGACAATGACGCCAAGGTACCTGTAGTGATCAACCCATTCAAGTATTACACCATTAAATAGTAGTTCTTCATTTGCCCACCGCTTGTGATGAGAGTATGCTTTTGTCTTGTTTGTGGAGAGTTTGTGGAGAGAGTGGCTAAGCTTGCACCTATAATACATAAATGTGTCAACTACAAGCATCCCCACCATGCCTGGTACATATTGCAGCAAGAGGCCTGGTTGGCAGGTGTTATGATCCCAGGTAGCTGAAAAACGAGTCTACCTTGAGAGTTATTCTGCAAGACCTCACCTAAATAAGAGGTCAAAGAAATATAGACATGAAGATACATGCGTAAAACAATTGGGTAAAGTTAACAGACAGTTTAAGAATATGGGCAGTGATCAAGAATGTAAGTAAACGACTGGTCAATAGATGTGGAGAGTTTGCTGGAAGTGTGAGGCTCGCGTCTGGAAGGCTTTGGCCCCACTTGAGCACCAGACATCGTGAGGGGAAGCTGCGCTCCGTGTGAGCTGTTAGAGAGGAACCCCTAGTTGATATACCTTCAAGAGGAAGGAAGTGTGCTGACGTTTCAGTTGTGGAGTCAAGCTGGAAACGTGTGGTCTCAAGTCCTGGACGGCAGGACGGAAGAGTTGTGAAGCCATCCTGTAAGATTTTCTTGGGCAGCCTTGGGAGCGCCCGGGGCGCCATCGAGGAGTGCCCTGGCAAGAGACAATATTGTGGTAAGCCCAAATTTAACTAGTTAATAGTGATTGCCTATAGTTGATCGTGTGCCCAGCGATCGTAGCAAGTGTCTGTTGATATATTAGACACATTTTGTTAAGGCAGAAAGCCTAAATAAGAAAGTAGAGGTGAGAGAGACAGCTGAGGAACGAGCGGCTGTCTTTCCACGCCGAGCTCCTGAGGGCAACTGAGTGTTGGCAGCCAGCTGCCTCGAGGGCCGCCTGGCCGGGCGGAGGATGGACCAGCCCAAACGTGGGAGAGTCCACACCCACGATAGTCTGGAGACAGATGTTGGGTGGAAACATTAATTGTGTGGTTTATTTCGTTTGTGTGTTTATAGAGGAACATTTTTATTGGCATATCGATGGGTTGCAGGTTTGTCCTGAGGAAGAAGTTGGTGGGAGTACTCTGAGGCCAGAGTAGAAGTTGATGATTGGAACTTCAAGCCTGTAGGGGTAGATGCTGTACTCTGTGGAATAGCAAGCCCCATAGTGAGGAATTAGACCTCATAATGTGAGAAGAGGAGCAGTGTATATATATATATATATATATATATATATATATATATATATATATATATATATATATATATATATATATATATATATATATATATATATATATATATATATATATATATATATATGTTCTAGGACTGCAAGGGTGATTGGTTATCACTTACTTATGCTGAAGTTTATAGAGTTATAACTGTAGGCTGAATTACCTGCAGATATATATTTATATATATATATATATATATATATATATATATATATATATATATATATATATATATATTTATATATATATGTATATATATATATATATATATACATATATATATGTCGTACCTAGTAGCCAGAACGAACTTCTATGCCTACTATGCAAGGCCCGATTTGCCTAATAAGCCAAGTTTTCCTGAATTAATATATTTTCTCTAATTTTTTTCTTACGAAATGATTAAGCTACCCATTTCATTATGTATGAGGTTAATTTTTTTTTATTGGAGTTAAAATTAACGTAGATATATGACCGAACCTAACCAATCCTACCTAACCTAACCTAACCTATCTTTATAGGTTAGGTTAAGTTAGGTAACCAAAAAAGTTAGGTTAGGTTAGGTTAGGTAGGTTAGGTAGTCTAAAAACAACTAATTCATGAAAACTTGGCTTATTAGACAAATCGGGCCATGCATAGTAGGCAGAGAAGTGCGTTCTGGCTATTAGGTACGACATATATACATATATATATAAATATATATATATATATATATATATATATATATATATATATATATATATATATATATATATATATATATATATATACATATATATATATATATATATATATATATATATATATATATATATATATATATATATATATATATATATATATATATATATATATATATATATATATATATATATATATGTCGTACCTTGTAGGCAGAACGCACTTCTCAGCCTACTATGCAAGGCCCGATTTGCCTAATAAGCCAAGTTTTCCTGAAATAATATATTTTCTCTAATTTTTTTCTTATGAAATGATAAAGGTACCCATTTCATTATGTATCAGGTTAATTTTTTTTTATTGGAGTTAAAATTAACGTAGATATATGACCGAACCTAACCAACCCTACCTAACCTAACCTAACCTATCTTTATAGGTTAGGTAACCAAAAAAGTTAGGTTAGGTTAGGTTAGGTATTAGGTAGTCGAAAAAGAATTAATTCATGAAAACTTGGCTTATTAGGCAAATCGGGCCTTGCATAGTAGGCTGAGAAGTGCGTTCTGGCTACTAGGTACGACATATATATATATATATATATATATATATATATATATATATATATATATATATATATATATATATATATATATATATATATATATATATATATATATATATATATATATATATATATATTAAATATGACCGAAAAAGTAAGATTAATAATTCTAACACGAATTTTCTCAATCTTTCGTACATTACGCTTCACTGTTGGAGGTAAATCAAAAATCACTTCTCCAAAATTCATTTTTATTTCTAGTCTGACGCGACACGGGAGCGTTTCGTAAAACTTATTACATTTTCAAAGACTTCACAAATACACAACTGATTAGAACTTGCGTTTCCCTGATTTTATATCTACATTTGAGTGAGGTGGGAAGGGTGATGTGGCATTAACACAAGACAGAACACTAGGGGATATTAATAGGGTATTAAAAGTATCAACACAAGACAGAACAGAAACAATGGGTATTGAATAGAAGTGTTTGTAGAAAGCCTATTGGTCCATATTTCTTGATGCTTCTATATTGGAGCGGAGTCTTGAGGTGGGTAGAATATAGTTGTGCAATAATTGGCTGTTGATTGCTGGTGTTGACTTCTTGATGTGTAGTGCCTCGCAAACGTCAAGCCGCCTGCTATCGCTGTATCTATCGATGATTTCTGTGTTGTTTACTAGGATTTCTCTGGCGATGGTTTGGTTATGGGAAGAGATTATATGTTCCTTAATGGAGCCCTGTTGCTTATGCATCGTTAAACGCCTAGAAAGAGATGTTGTTGTCTTGCCTATATACTGGGTTTTTTGGAGCTTACAGTCCCCAAGTGGGCATTTGAAGGCATAGACGACGTTAGTCTCTTTTAAAGCGTTCTGTTTTGTGTCTGGAGAGTTTCTCATGAGTAGGCTGGCCGTTTTTCTGGTTTTATAGTAAATCGTCAGTTGTATCCTCTGATTTTTGTCTGTAGGGATAACGTTTCTATTAACAATATCTTTCAGGACCCTTTCCTCTGTTTTATGAGCTGTGGAAAAGAAGTTCCTGTAAAATAGTCTAATAGGGGGTATAGGTGTTGTGTTAGTTGTCTCTTCGGAGGTTGCATGGCTTTTCACTTTCCTTCTTATGATGTCTTCGATGAAACCATTGGAGAAGCCGTTATTGACTAGGACCTGCCTTACCCTACAGAGTTCTTCGTCGACTTGCTTCCATTCTGAGCTGTGGCTGAGAGCACGGTCGACGTATGCGTTAACAACACTCCTCTTGTACCTGTCAGGGCAGTCGCTGTTGGCATTTAGGCACATTCCTATGTTTGTTTCCTTTGTGTAGACTGCAGTGTGGAAACCTCCGCCCTTTTCCATGACTGTTACATCTAGAAAAGGCAGCTTCCCATCCTTTTCCGTCTCGTAAGTGAAACGCAGCACGGAACTCTGCTCAAATGCCTCCTTCAGCTCCTGCAGATGTCTGACATCAGGTACCTGTGTAAAAATGTCGTCAACATACCTGCAGTATATGGCCGGTTTCAAGTTCATGTCGACTAAGACTTTTTGCTCGATGGTACCCATGTAGAAGTTTGCAAACAGGACACCTAGGGGAGAACCCATGGCGACCCCATCTACTTGCTTATACATGTGCCCATCCGGGCTCAAGAAGGGTGCCTCTTTAGTACAAGCTTGGAGTAGTTTCCTCAGAATACTTTCTGGCATGTCAAGAGGAGTACAGGCTGGATCACGATACACTCTGTCGGCTATCATTCCGATTGTCTCGTCCACAGGTACGTTGGTAAACAGCGATTCTACGTCCAACGAGGCTCTTATCCCTGTGGCCCGTGCGCCCGCAGTAAGTCCACAAATTCCTTTGGAGACTTCAGGCTGAAGGCGCAAGGAACATAAGGAGTCAGCAGGCCGTTGAGCCGCTTCGCCAGTCTGTACGTGGGTGTGGGTATCTGGCTAATGATTGGCCGAAGTGGGTTTCCAGGCTTGTGCGTCTTGACATTTCCATACGCATATCCAGGTTTATATTCCCCAATGATCTTTGGCAGGTGGAGTCCGGATTTCTTGGCGTTCACAGTTTCGATCAGTTTGTTGACCTTTGCTTTTAATTCGGCTGTAGTGTCCTTCGTTACCCTTTGGAACTTAGTTTGGTCAGAGAGTATGATGTTCATTTTCGCCAGATATTCGTCTTTTTAAGAATGACATATATTGGCGACTTGTCACCTCTCCTGACAACTATCTCCTTGTTCTCACGAAGGCTTTTAGCTGCCGCTTTAAGCTCGGGGGACAGTATGGTGCTTCTGTAGTTGCCTCGATTCTTTCCTCCTTCTGCAATAAGTTCTGCTTGTAAGGTATCTTTGGTAGTGACCTTCTTTTGTGTCTCGAGGTCGAATATGTCGTCCAACAGAATTTCCAACTCTACTTTCCGGGCCATTTCACTCGGTCTGTGTATTTGTGAAGTCTTTGAAAATGTAATAAGTTTTACGAAACGCGCCCGTGTCGCGTCAGACTAGAAATAAAAATGAATTTTGGAGAAGTGATTTTTGATTTACCTCCAACAGTGAAGCGTAATGTACGAAAGATTGAGAAAATTCGTGTTAGAATTATTAATCTTACTTTTTCGGTCATATTTAATAATATATATATATATATATATATATATATATATATATATATATATATATATGTCGTACCTAGTAGCCAGAACTCACTTCTCGGGCTACTAATCAAGGCCCGATTTGTCTAATAAGCCAAGTTTTCCTGAAATAATATATTTTCTCTAATTTTTTTCTTATGAAATGATAAAGCTACCCATTTCATTATGTATGAGGTCAATTTTTTTTTATTGGAGTTAAAATTAACGTAGATATATGACCGAACCTAACCAACCCTACCTAACCTAACCTAACCTATCTTTATAGGTTAGGTTAGGTTAGGTAGCCGAAAATGTTAGGTTAGGTTAGGTTAGGTAGGTTAGGTAGTCGAAAAACAATTAATTCATGAAAACTTGGCTTATTAGGCAAATCGGGCCTTGCATAGTAGGCTGAGAAGTGCGTTCTGGCTACTAGGTACGACATATATATATATATATATATATATATATATATATATATGTCGTACCTATTAGCCAGAACTCACTTCTCAGCCTACAATGCAAGGCCCGATTTGCCTAATAAGCCAAGTTTTCATGAATTAATATAT